CATGGCCCTGCCACAGTTTGTCTCCCTCTGTGCAGCTACTGGTGAGGAAAACCCTTTACAGGGGAGGAGGTTAAGCTGGGAAAACCCACAGCGCTCATAGATTCCCATCCAAAAGTTGCCCTTTTTCGATCCTCTGTGCATGGAAAACAAACATCTGTCTTGGATTTTTGTCAACCTGTTGTGACGTCAGCAGCGTTGACTTTTCCATGCTGGACTTTCCCTCCTGATGATGCAATACTCGATGAAATGCTACAAATAGTAAGTGAGCAATACAAACCAGCTTGAAGAGAGATTTTTAGCTTCACATTCCAGCCTGATCTCCAAAACCTGTTTGTAAAAATGTATACGAAAACCGGTTTTGGAGATCACGTTGCACATTCATGTAAAATATATTACTCAAAAACAGCTCTAACTAATAATTTTGTATGACTTTTGGAAAAGAAAACCTTTTTCTATTGTAAGAAGGTTTAGTGTCTCGTTACAAACCCACAGACAGTTAACAGGACCGCTCTCCCCTCACATCTATAGAGCCTTTATTGATGTATTTAACCAACTGTGTTGGTTCCACTGACTGAGGCATTGGCATTGCAGGCAGCCGTTTCAAGCAAAAAAGCTCTAAAACCCCACTTTATAGTAGCATATCTGCACCAAGTGGCAGAATATTGGACTTAGCTGTCCAAATCCAGGGCATCAATGCATAACTTTATTTGCATCAAGTTGTGGGACAGTTACTAATCCAGTAGAGATGCAGTCAGACATAGCTCCACAACACTTTGCACACTTTCCACAACACGTTGCTAATAAAATGTCATATTACTGGTTGAATATGCAGGACGGGTATTTCTGGACCGACACAGATGCCCTGTGTTGTCTATGGAGGGTGCGATGTCACACACAGAGCTGGTGTGACTGAGTTAATTGTCACAGTGGTTTGATTCACCAGGAGACAACACATTGTCCTGCTGAATATACCAGCATCAGAGACTCTCGGGGGAGAGCTCCTCCACCCTCTCAAACCCACATTCCTTCCAGCATTCCTTTACACCCTCTTCTTCCCTCAATGTTTTTCCACCTTCCCTTCCTTTTCAACACAAATTATGTATAGACTGATGCTGTGCAAATTGTATTTCTAAGAATTTGTCAGATAATAGACTTTGGGACCAAGACTAAATGTCTAAGCGTCGAACTAAGAAAATCTGGACTCTCTTGCGGATTGGATTTTAGTACAATTAATCTCAATCTCAACTCTCAATGTCAGACTGCAGCTACTCTGGAAGTGAGATGCAGTGAAGGCCGAGTTATCAATAATCCAGAGTAATGTCTCTCTTTGGTCCACCATCGATCGCTCATGATGCTATTTCTATGCCCTTGCTGGTGTCTTATTTTAGCTTCGCAGACTAATGATTGAGTGCCGAACTGACAGAGCCTTTCATGTGTGTGGGTGTGTGCATGTTTTTGTGTGCGTGTATTTGTATCTCTATTTGAATAAAATATTGTGTGAGAGAGAGAGGGGAAGAGAGGGAGACTCTGTCTCATCCTGTCCATCCTCACCCTCTTGCTATACTTAACCTGTCCCCTGCTGTCCTCCCTGACCATCCTGAAGGTCCCCCCTGACCTCCTTAGGATCCTATAGGCCTCGTTGCTCCACTTCCTGGCCTTCAGCAGCTGTCTCAGAAGACCTCTGCTCAGAGTCCCTTCCTGGACATGTTCTGGCGAGATCTGCTTCTCTCCCACACCTACAACAAAAACACATCAACAAAATCCTCCACCCTTCTGTCGTTGAGGATCATGAGAAGTTGTCTTTTGTGAGACACCATGTGTCTCAGCAGCGGGGACTTACACCACGAGGAGACACCATTTTACTTGGAGAACTCTCTGGCCAGAGCCTCGTCTCCAATAAAAGGGAGGAACGGTGGACAGAGCGAGAGAGAAAGAGTGCGAGAAAGAGAGCTGCTTTACTAGTAAATGTCCCTGAATGTGAAATAATCGGTTGGTTTCAGATCAGCTGATAAGACGTGTGCGGTGCGGCACTGCAGCAGTATTTACAACGTGTACAGTAGTCTGTGTCAGCCTGACGTGTCATTGATGTAAAGATAATGTTGGATGCTGCACATAGAAGATGATAACTTAATTGTCTTATTGAATTAGTATGGATGTCAAATACCATTAAGTAAGTGATGTTTACATCTTTAATACGATTAAGATTAAGTTATTAAGTCATTTGAACACAATTGAACAATTTGCCGTTATATTTCATTGTCATGTTGGTGGCTCTTGTGTTTTTAGGAATAGAGGTATATCTGTCACGGGTGCGGGTGGGAGGCAGGACTCAAAATGCAGACTTGCAGGAACAAAAGGACTTTAATAGTCGAAGGTCAAAAATCCAAAAGGCCAAGGGGCAAAAACACACAGGCATGGAACTTACAGATACCCACAACAAGGGACACGGACATGCGTGGCGAAAGACAATGACGCGACACAGGAGACACACGGCTTAAATACACAAGGGAGGTGCAGGTGATTGGACACAGGTGGAAACTATTAAGACGATCACAGGGGATGACGGGACAAGGCAGGAAGTGAAGTTACCCAGGGACACGAGTGGCAGAAAACTACAAAATACAACAGGAAGTGAACCACACCGTGACAATATCGGCCCATGTATGTTTGCACTGGAGTAACATAACCACCATTCTCTTGATTGCAATGTTCCTCAGAGAATAACGCTCCTCTGACTTTAGAGATTGACTTTTCGTCTAGCGCCACCAGCAGGTAAATATTTTCATTTATCTAAATAAAATATTTATCTTACTTGATGGATTGGTATAATCTGAGGTGGAATTTTGTACTAATGTAATCAAAAGGTCAACATTTTACCTTCTTTTTTGGGACTAAACTAGTGATTATGCAATCAAGCTCAAGTACATTATGTGTACTGGTCATTTTAGAAATAAGCCTTCTAACAAAACTAGGATTGCTAACATTGTAAGAAATAATATCTGCTAAAATCTTCTTTAAATCCTACCAGATTGCCACATCACCTGCTGCCATTATACCTGACTCCCCGGGCAACTTTGTTACGATCTTTCTTGTGGACTTTACAAGCCAAAGCGCTTACAAATACATCAGAGGGACATGACAATAGACACAGCATCACCCGCCTCAACAACAACATCCAGAACAAGCAGCCACCGTAGACCATCAGTCTGTCAGTGCCATGCTCTGCTTACTGTCAGAAACCATTAGATCCAAAGGCGACAACAGTTAACCAGGCACAAAAAGCATGTGACAGGAGGTTATACAAGCTGATACTAAAGACTTATAAACATGCATAATGCATATACATATGTATGTATGTATATATATATATATACATATGTATATGCATTATGCATGTTTATAAGTCTTTAGTATCAGCTTTAGTATATATATATATATTAGTATATATATATATATATATATATATATATATATATATATATATATCTCGACATACACATACAGTGGGGAGACGTACATACTTTAATCAGGAAAGGATCTTTGCCCCGTGGAGTAGACGGAGACCAAGAGCCTAAAGTTGGCCTAAGCTCCCTTTTCCCGGACGTCGTTATTAATGGACACTTTTTGTTGTATAAATACTCTCAGAGACACCTCTTTTATGCATGATTCGGGCCTCAACGTCCCTTGGGTTGGCACAATAAGAATGTAGATGTGTATATACAGTGGGGAGAACACGTATTTGATACACTGCTTATTTTGCAGGTTTACCCACTTACAAAGCATGTAGGAGTCTGGAATTTGTATCATAGATACTTTTCAAGTGACGGAATCTAAAAAAAAATCCAGAAAATCACATGATTTAAAAAATATATATTTTGCAGTATTTATTGCTTGGCATAAGTATTTGATACATCAGAAAAGCCAAACTTAATATTTGGTACAGAAACCTTTGTTTGCAATTACATACATCATATGTTTCCTGTAGTTTGCACAGACTGCAGCAGAGATTTTGGCCCACTCCTCCATACAGACCTTCTCCAGATCCTTCAGGTTTTGGGGCTGTCGCTGGGCAACACAGACTTTCAGCCCCCTCCAGAGATTTTCTATTGGGTTCAGGTCTGGAGACTGGCTAGTGCACTAGGCCTTCTGAAGGGTTGCAAAAGCTTCCTCTGCTGCAGTACTCCAGAGGACCTGTTGTGGGTGGCTATTTTTTGTCATCTCATGCAAGATTTTTACTTGCCGTCTTGTTGCTGGCTTAGGCCAGGTGTGGTTGGCTCACCCAATGGTGTAGCTGAAGTATTCCGACTCCTCTTGTCCAAAACGGCACTTTTTGGGATTGGCAGTCAGGCCAGCTTTCCGTAGGCTTCCCCAGACAGCTTTCAGGCGGCAAACAGTCAGCACGGTGTATGATCACATCATCGAAGTAGGCCGCTGCATATCCACGATGAGGTCAGAGCACTTGATCCATCATTCTTTGGAAAATGGCTCGTGTACTCCGAAGCATAGGACTCGATTAGCATCAGCATTAGGAAAATAATAAAGGTATGACAAATGGCCCGTGATATTTTCCTTTGAGGATGAAACTACAGCAAACATTTTTTTATCAATAGCCTTTTAGTGTGCCAATTACCAGGCCCTGCTCCCTCAGCATCTTCCTCTCCGGCCTCCGCTGATCAAAACAGACTATATTTAGGTTGTTGCTCTCTCTCTCTCTCTCTCTCTCTCTCTCTCTCTCTCTCTCTCTCTCTCTCTCTCTCTCTCTCTCTCTCGAGCCTATCTGGTCCAGAATCCCAAGTTGTGCTGTCCAGCTCGATGTTTTTGTTTTTTTACCCCGACAGGCGTCTGTGTGATGTTGCAGATTCAGAGCTGTCCTCAGAAAAAGACAACTTTAAAGGAAACCCCCCCCAAAATGAAAAGTGATGTTACAAGAACTGTATGCAACCACAGTGAATCATCCGCATTACAGCCCAATAGTTATGTTAATGTCTCCTCTCTTGCAGTGGCTCATGCGCAGGACACACACCACCACTCCACGGAGAAGCCCCTGATTCAGTGCTACAAGTGTGGCGAGCCATGTAAGGGAGAGGTGCTGCGGGTACAGAACAAGCACTTCCACCTCAAGTGCTTCACCTGTAAAGGTACTTTTATTTTATGTAATTATAATTGAATAGGTTTTATTAGTGTTTGTTGCTCGTGAGCTGTAGTCCATGTAAGACAACCCTAATATTATCAGAAAACCTGGTGTCCAATAATAAAATGAGTCCACAGACACAGACTCTCAATGGGAGATAATACATGTGGGCGAGTGTGAATGTTGGCAGCTCAAGTATAAAGTTTTTTGATTTATTGCTAATTTCCTACTTTCACAATAACAGGACATTGTCTTCTTTTTGTTCAGACCATGCAGCCTACTACTGACTGTTTTACCCTATGATGTAGAGTTACAGTTACAAATATAGAGGAGTCCAAAGTTTGGTGATCTGGTACGTGAAACAACAAGTATAGCTGATCCAGACTGACTTGTCCTCTCTTCTCAGACCTTTAATCTGAGTATCATTCAGACGGCTGTTACATGTGATGGGATCAATCCTAATGCATTTGTCATTATTACTGATGGTTTTTCTGGCCTTCTGGCGTGTTTACAATGTAGCTTTCCACATCTGCCCAAGCAGTCTCGCTCTTGCAGGCTGATCCTGTCCCGCTGAAGCCCTTGTAGTTAATCTGTAACTAGAGCACTGTTACATTTTCGCTTAGTTTACCGAGGGCTCAGAATAACACAAGCAAACATTGAGATTAGCACCAAATTTCAATTCTGTCCTTTACACTGAATATGCACACTTTTGGAGGTGGTTCTAAAAGTGTTTGTACACACAACAGTGGTTGCCAAAGAATACATGATTACTGCACTATTAGCCAAAAGAAGCACTGTCTTGGTCCAGAATCAGTCTGGCTGTTTTAAGTCTCTGACCTGTATGGCTGGTAATACCATGATTGTCAGGTTGACTGAGTCTATACACTCAGTTAACCATGTCATACAAATCCAAAAACAGACGTGTTTTGCATGTGTTTATCTCACCCCTTAAAATGCACAATGATTTTCCCAAAATACTCTTTTGATAAAAATTAGGTCAGGTTAAAAACAGATGTGTCATGAATAACCAACCAAAAAGGAAAAACCAAAGAGTTTGCATCTTTGCTTAAAATCAGAGAGATGAAAGACTGAAAGATGAAAGAAGTCCTCATTCAAAAGATTGAATACGATCCAATTTCATAAGGTGACCCTCTAAAAAGTAATTTAATGTAATCCATGCATCTATTGCAAAGCTGAGGTATCTGGACATCACAGTCAAAGGCCACCAAATATCAACTGCCGGTGTTCTCTTGACTTGGATAGTTTACAAGCTAATCCCATCACCCATGAACCCTAATGCAATTGAATCTGAGTCTCTGCCCTGCTCGCTCCCATTTATCCCCAGGATTTAGCGTGCCTTCTTGCATAAGAATGATTCGGTGAAGTCATCTCTAACAGAAAATATTTCCCCCTTAGCTGAGTTATTTCCAACTCTTAGCTTTTATATTCTCAGACTCACTCTGTGGTGTTGGAATGGAGCTTCGGCATTGAGGAAATCTTTAGAAGTCTGTAGATATGAATTGTGCTCATGTGCAGTCTGTGTGAGTCTTGATGAATGGGAAGATGATGTGACATGTTAAGTGAGTTATTTTTTCCAGCCTTGAGTTCTTCAATTAGCCAGGACTCCCTAAAACGTACCCCCAAATCAGCCCATGAAAGCAGCATTGGAATTATGTTGAAGTATGGGACAACATTGATGGTCCACCACATTTGTTGGGACTGAAATCAACAACAGCTATCACATGGACTGCTACGACATTTGGTTCAGACATTTATGTTTCCCAGAATATGAATCCTATTGACTGCAACACCCCGTTGAGGTTGACATTTATGTTTTTGAGTGAAGACTCTCAACAACTGTAAACTGGATTGAAAATGAAATGTTGTCCAGACATTAATGCCCCCCCCTCCTGCAACTTTTTCATCATCATTAGTTAAATTGGTCGGATAGAGCAAAATGTAAAAAATAATGACATACTCATCAGCCTTAGTTGTGTGTATTTAGCGCCAATGATCAAATGTTCATGAATACTAACACCCTCAACCACCAAAAAAATGAAAAGCCATGAGTCTGTGTCTCTGCTAGAAATCAGAGATGTGAAAGTGATAATTGAATTTCTCATTCAAAAGTCTGAATTTAATCTTAACTCCAATATACTAACTCTTTCATTTCGTCAGTAAGACCTGTCAACAGCCTCTCGCCAACATAAAATACCCCAAACTCTCAATTCCTCCCCCATTACTATTTCTGCCTTATCCAGTCCTTCATGTTTCTCTAGATGACAAGGTTGTATTTGTTTGTTGGAGACTGACAGTGTAGTACAGAGAATTCAGAGAGAGCTATCGTTAGAAACAGATCAAGGCCATTTCCTGAGACACACAATTACAGAATTGTTGGCATTGAATGCTCTACTTCCACACCGACAATGAAAAGACCTTTCTATGGTAGTGCTGAATTTGCAACGTGAACCTCTGATGCAGTTCCTTCAGAGGGACATGGTCCGGAAGTTTTTATTTTCTATTCCAACTGTGAAACGCTGATCAAACAATTTTACGCTACGCTTCACATTGTAACGCACACAGCTGTTAAAATGAATTTCTCAGCATCCATTTCACAAAGTCAGCGAGCCACTCGGGATTACAAGGGCTAGCCAGGCTTAACAAAGCCGGCGATGCGTGGACGAGATGGGTGGCTCGCGTGTTGTGTGGGAAAACTGAATGACCTGACTTACAGAAGGTCAAATGTTTGCGTCCCCATGCAGTTTGCGGCTGTGACCTCGCCCAGGGGGGCTTCTTCATGAAGAATGGAGAGTATCTCTGCACGCTGGACTACCAACGCATGCACGGCACTCGCTGCAATGGCTGCGGGGACTTTGTGGAGGGGGAGGTGGTCACCGCGCTGGGCAAAACCTACCACCCCGCCTGCTTCGTCTGCACCATCTGCAAGTAAGGCACACACAGGTTTCACTAGATGACAGAGGGTTAAATAGATGTATTTAAGTGCAGCTTTCCACAAAATGTTCTTTTTCATTTCACCCAATATTTATGTCACTCTTCTTCCAGACGACCGTTCCCCGCCGGGGACAGGGTGACCTTCAACGGGAAGGACTGCCTGTGCCAGTACTGCGTCGAACCCATGTCTCCGGGACCAAAGGACATCCTGGGTTCCAGCAGTACGTCCTGTCTAATAAACACATAAAGACATGTTTGAAGGGAAGGCATTCACTTTCATGCAATACAATTTGGGCTTCCACGGGATTCATTGCGGAGGGAAAGTGGATTAGTTGAGGGATTCAAAACGTTTCATTACAATACATGTCATGTCATTTAGCTGACGCTTTTATCCAAAGCGACTTACAATAAGTGCATTCAACCATAGGGATACAAACTCAAATAAGAAAGTGCAATTTCCTCAAATAAGCCAATTTACAATTTGCTATAGATGAGTGGCGTTACAAGTACAATTTAAGTGCTACAATTTGTTAGTCTTTTAGTCGAGGTAGAGTGAAGAGGTGTGTCTTTAGTTTGCGGTGGAAGATGTGAAGGCTCTCTGTGGTCCTGGTGTCTTCAGAGAGCTTGTTCCACCATTTCAGAGCAAGGACAGCAAAGAGTCGTGATCTAGTCGAGTGTTTTGCTCTCAGTGAGGGAGGGACGAGCAGTTTTGCAGATGCAGAGCGGAGAGTGCGGGTCGGGATGCAGGGTTTCAGAAAGACAAGTAGTTGCAGATTGCTGCATGACATTTAGCGGCCAGTCATTTCTAACTAAAGTTTGTCCTTTGAAAAAGTAAACCAAACATTTCTCTAATACAAAACTACCTTCAATGCTAGTGGAGATCCAGAGGTTTCCAGACTAAAAATGTGTGTAATGGTGTGAAGTGTGTAAAACAGTTGGTACTACTGAACAGTTGAGTAGTACCAACTGTTCACATCTCAGTAAATGAAATACCTTGTAAGGACCTTTCCTGCGCCCCAGTTAGGCTTGACAACAGAATGATGTCGGGTCTCTCCTCTCCTCTACACGCAGCTGGGTGGTAGGCCAGCCAATGTTTGTGAATAAAACCAAGACAGGCCTTGCTCAATAATGCATGGCCATGCATTTCCTTTCCTCTGGCACAGAGAATGTGCAGCCCTGTAACCCCTCCCTTTTCTCTTCTTCCTCTTCTTTCTCTCTTCCTGTTCTTTCTCTCCCCCCTCCCTCTTTCTCCTCCCAGTGGTCTTTGAGTTGGTGTTTGAAAAGCTTTTAGACAAGGTCACCTATAAATAAGGCATGCTGATTCTCCTCATGTCATCATCGCAGCCTGGTTATGCCTTACATAGTATACCGTCCCCTGTGGCTGCAGTGGGCTCTGTGTTGCTTTCCTCCCCTATTCATTAAAGAAGATCTGACAGTTTGTCTGGAAATCAACTCCTTGCACTTTTTAAGCCTTGTGGTCCCACTTGGATTTGGATGGAGCTTTTAGAGCTCTGGTAAGAGGGGGGTGGATGATAGAAGGAGGCAGCTGTCAGAATGCTGCTTGTTACACTCTGTCACCATCTAGTGTCTTTGGTGACGAAAGGTCTCATTTCTTTGCATGCAATAATTTCTCCTCCAGTTGATAGTGTGATCCCATTAAAGACTGTATCTTCACTCATCTTCACTAGTTTAACTACTATAGTTTTAGCACATAACTCGATGCCGCTTAATGCTCTCTTTCAGATTGTGCAGGATGCGGTCGAGACATTAAGAACGGACAAGCTCTCCTAGCTTTGGACAGACAGTGGCATCTGGGCTGCTTTAAGTGTAAGGCCTGCAACAAAGTCTTGACTGGGGAGTACATCAGCAAGTAAGCAGCTCAAATTCAGGCCTGCAGGAGGTTCACACATGATAGGATATTTTACTGTCAAGTCCCTCCTGCTAGGATTTGTCTGTCTCCACTCAGGGACGGCGCCCCCTACTGTGAGAAGGACTACCAGATCCATTTTGGAGTTCAGTGTGAGGCGTGTCATCAGTTCATCACAGGGAAGGTGCTTGAGGTAAGACACACACACGGGACATAGAATTGTTCAGTGGCTTGTATTGTAGGTAGATGTCTCTCTGTGCAGCCAGATGTGGAATGTACAACATGCAGTTGTAAACAGATTTTGCAATATTGCACCGGGATATCCCAACAATCCTGCTTACGGGACGTTTAAAAGAGTGAACAAATATTTTCACTTATGGTGAATTGTAGGACTACCATTACGGAAAGGGCCTTTGTGAACAACAGCTAACGTGTCAAGTTGAATTTTGCGTGACGTGGACTCACAGAGAGGTAGTTCTAATGTCTAAATTCTTCTCATCTCATCTTGGAATGGAATTGCGAAATGTAGTTTGATAATCTTTGGTGTAATCTCTCCGTCACAGAATTCATGCCATGTCCAACTATGCCTAAATACACTTCCTTGCACACAGTCATACAAATTACATACATTTACATAAAATCCTTAATATTATCTGATGTTTATGAAGTGCTCGGTATTCATCAATATTGTGCGTCATGCTGCTGTTATGAAACTCTTGTTTAAACGTTTGTGATGTTGTCTGAGTCGAGTTTGTGTTAACGTTACCAATGTTCGTTTTGATTACTGGTCTCTTAAACGAGTGCTGGTTTGTTCTGCAGACAGCGATTCACTCAGACGCTAAGTTATGTGTAATTTATGGTTTGATTATGTCAAATTGCCAGCCAGCCAGGTTTCCAGTAATCCAGAGCTAAGGCAGGCCTTCGTGGCAATAGGAAACACCCCCGGCGTCTCGCCCTGACTCACTGCCAACTGCCGTGGGGCCAGAGCCACAGCGCTCTCTCTGATAGTCCAATCCCTGACCCAAGACCCTGGTCAAATACCATGTAGCAATCGGCTGCTCCTCTGGGTGTGCACTGTGAATGGCTTATTAATCCACGGGTAATTAATGCAGCTATTAAAATCATAGAGAAATACCGAGAGTATTTAATGGGATCTACACATAATGCACCTTTATTATCTGTGAGAGACGGGGAAAGAGAGGAGAGAATTGTGTGGGAGGTGCTGTAAAGTGCTATAGGTCGGTAAAATGTGAAAATGCAAATGTTAGTCAATGGCCTCATAGCTCTAAGGCCTCAACGAGTGGCCACTTGCCAGCTCAAACTTTACTGAGGGTTGTTATACAGCCGGCACAATTTAGTTTGGGTATTATATCAACCCCTGTCAAAGTCACATTGGCTTTTTAGTAGTGCTCTCTGCATGCAAAGTGCCGTGTCGATGTATATGGAAATTCAGGCGCTCTAGCCATTATGCAGGTTATCACAGAGCGCTTAGGTAAAGAAGGAAGTTTGACCTTGTCAAAAAAGCAGGTGACCCATTACATAATAATTGAACATCTTTTCATATTGCATCACTGTGGTGTGGTGGTTAGCACTATCGCATCACGGCAAGAAGGTCCTGGTCTCTGATCAACTGGTGACCAGTTCAGGGTGGACTCTGTCTCTTGCCCGATGTTGGCTGGGATTGACTCCAGCCCCCCACCCCCACCCCGTGACCCTGTATGTAGGATAAGAGATTGACAATCTTTCCATCTTTTAATTACTGAAAGAAAATAGCACTGGACTTTATACAGCCCAAAATGCTAATTCACAATTTTGCCGCAGAGGGTATTAATGGATATTTTATCGTCAGTCATTCTTGATGGAAGAGAGAGCAGTAATTATAATGTGACGATACTATTCCCCGCACCAGCACGGTTTGGATGCTGGAGGAGGGAGATGCAGCTGGGAGCAGGTAGACCCTAGGTTTATTTCTTGGGAGTCGCAGCCCCTCGCTTCAATGCAGACTTCGCTGATCTGTGCACCCTGTTTCCCAGGCAGGAGATAAGCACTACCACCCGAGCTGTGCCAGATGCAGCAGGTGCAATCAGATGTTCACAGAAGGAGAAGAGATGTATCTGCAAGGTGAGCGGACATGTCTGCATCATCAGCGCTCCACTTTGGAGAGTGGCATACTTCCCTGTTGTTGTATGTATGACTCAGGGGTATGAAACCCTTCAGGGATTAAACAGCACTTTTTATTTCTTTATTATTGTTTGCTGTTTTGTCGGCTTATAAATGACACACAGGTTACTGAGTGTGCATTCCATGCTATACTGAAAACACTTGCTCTTTAGCACAATCCATTTTTTTCTACCAGGTGTGTATTATACCTTTAATCAGGTCTTTTAATAAGCCATTGAATAATATTCATAATAATGTGTCTCCTCTGAAACTCTTGTAAGCCATTCCACTGTATTTTAGCTATATCTTACATCCTATCCGAGTTTTCTGTTTAAGATGAGTTTGATTGAAGTTTTCAAGAAGTGTCAAAGTGACGCTACGAAAGAATGCGCGTTGATTCACTGACCGCTCCTACACCTTTTGATCAGATTTAGGCATATTGACAAAATACATGTTGATAATCTATTTCCATATGTTGTTCTGAATGCATTTTCCCTCCTCAGGATCAACGGTGTGGCATCCTGGCTGCAAGAACACCACCAGAACAGAAGAGAGACACAGGGAGCGGGTAGGAATTTGGGCGTCACTCCGTTCCTTTCTTTTCCCGTCTCATGACAATAATCTCCCGGAAAAGACCGAATTTGGAGTGTGTAACGGGGGATTTTGCATGAGCTGTTCCCTCTCTCTTGATGTCAAACTGTTAAACATTAACCTGCCCGGGTTCACATATTTTGCTTATTGAGGGGGTGTTGTGAGCTTGTGTGTGTGCGGGCCATTGCATGTTTGTATTATTTTACGAGTTGGCCATAATGTGTGTATGTGTGTGAACTTTGAGGCGGGCTGGAGAGGCACAACGTTGAGGCGGGCTGGAGATGGCCTGTGAACCCCCCTTTCCCTTCCTTCACAGCTATTGTCTCCGTCCCTCTTATTCTAACAAAAAAAAGAAAGGCAGGTACTGTGTTCGCTAATGGCTATGAGATGGCATCATCCCGTGTTCCACCACGTGAATAGGACACAATGCGCTGTTTACTGCCATCTGCTGGATATGGCCTGCAGTTCTGAGTGTGTCATTTGGAGGCATTCAGTCTTGTCCTTTTTGAGGCCTTATTATGGGCTCATATCAAAGGTGCATGAGAATAAGATATGTGCACATTTGGCGGAGCACCCATTAGGTGAAAAGCCTATTTAATACCTGATGCTATCCAAACATTCCATTTCCCATTAAAAAGCATGAGGTTCTTAAGAACATACAATCACACAGTGACTCATTCACTTGAAAGAATGACGTAATCATGAAATAATGTTAGCATTTCGGGTTATTAATGTAAAACAAAAAATAAATACAGGGGGAAAATCCCCTCTCATGGTTCATACAGTACAAAAGCCAAACACTGTCATTTTTGAATGTTAGGGTAATAACCACGGTGATGTGCAAATGGCAGACAAATTGCCTGACAGACGTTGTCTTGACTAACAGCCTCTTGTATGTGTTTTTTTCACAGCCTACGAGGTCGTCGTCCGAGAGTATTTGTTCCAGACCTGGTTCAAGCATACCCGGCTCACCGGGTCACACGATCTATGTAAGAACGGTTATGGACTTACATTTTGCCTAAATAGATTATTCTGGTTCTGTCTTACTAGTCACATGTTTCCCTTTTTATAAAGGCGTATTTTGACAGGTGAACCCTTGTAAATCCTATTGATCCCTGCGTCTGTGTGTATGCATCTTTGTGTTTGTCTCCCTAGGCAAAAGTAGACAATGAGATCCTTGATTACCGAGACCTAGCTGCCATTCCAAAAGTCAAAGCCATTTATGACATTGAGCGTCCTGATCTTATTACATATGAACCTTTGTACACCACTTCCCTGGATGAGAGAGAGGAGAGCAGACAGAGTGTGGGAGAGGTAAATGCACAGACCGCATGCATCTGTTCCTGCACGTTTGTCATCTTAATACGCTGTGCGTTAGGGAGGTCTATTCCTCAAATTACCCTCTGTTAAATTGTGTTTAAAGCCTTTGTGCAGCACTGAACTCCTTGTGTCATTCACAGCTCCACACTGCCAGGAGGGAGCGTTCCCCCTTACCCGATGACAAGGTACGTCACCATGTGTTGATGATGATAAATGATCCTGAGTTACCAATGATATTCATGTCTGGTTTTGTTGAGCAGGCTGCCTTGTTAGGAAGAAAAAACTTTTAACAACACGTTATAATTATATCTGTTATCTGAGTTTTTTCCTTTTTTTTAGTGCTCAAGAAACATGTCGCCGACTCCATCTGTTGAGGTGAAGAAATTATTTTATCTCATTAACTGACTCCTGTGTATGATTTAAATGATGAATATAACATCCCATTATTTGCTTCAGCTTGTGTAATAACCTGTGTGTATTTGTGTGTGTCAGTGCTCTTACGACAGGAGAGAACGAGTCCTCCAAAGGTCCACCAGTCAGGGCTCCATAGGATCACCAGTTTATAATCGCCATGGTTACACCCCCACCCTGTCACGGTCACCACAGCATTTTCACAGACCAGGTGAGCGTAGGTGGGGGCACATGTATATTGATCTATGGTTTCTGATAAACCTGATGTTTTAAATAAGGTGGATAGGAGAGTTAAAACAGTGTGGATGAGTTCACTGACCCTCCTTTTGATCATTTTACGTGTTTAAAGGGGAACTTTTCCAAAATTCACTTTTGATTGTTGTGTATTTGTGTTTTCTTTGATTGCCATCCCTCTTGCACAGTAACAATCTTAAAGTCAAATTGCACCTCTAACAGCACAGTTTTTTCTATTTATTTTCTATTGTATCCTTTAACCCTTCCTCGTTTTGGACTGTTCATCTTAAATCCTCCTTACCTCTCACTTCGGGTACCTTTTAAATTTCCTTTTTTAAGACTTTTGAATCCTGTAGATCCTCCTTTTGTTTTGTCCCTCACCTTCTCACCTTCTATCTCCTCCTCACATTGACCACCTCTGCTGCCCGGTGCTGGGGTTTTGTCCCCCGTCCCACACCCTCCCTGCAGAGGCTCTGACAGGCATGCAGAAGCTCTGCTCCTCTTTGTGCAGTAACAGTGTGGGCTCCAGAAATAGTGACTCCCGCCCCACTTCCCCTTTCAGACACCACTTCATACCCAATAGCCAAGGTAAGGGCCCCACTCCTCTCCCCCACCCCCCGAAGGCCATACATCATCTCCATCGTCACCGCTAAAGCCACCTCCCTGTCAGTGCCTTCATCTGTCATTCTGAATCTGCCCCTATTCTCATTAGTGTTGTGGCAGCCATCCTGAATGGTAAAACCCATGAAGCCAAGGCATTGATTCCTCACACTACTAGCACGCTAGTAACTCTTTACCATTGCAGTTTCAAACACTTGTCAAAGTAGCTGACAGGCTCTTTGTGTTTGTGTTTTTGCAGCTTTGCATGCACTTGAGATAGTGTAGTAAAACAAATAAAATATCCATATCCCCAATATCCCAGAACTTTTTGGCCTGGTCAGAATGAGTCTCCAGACTCCCGTAAACTGTAAGTCTGAGATAAAAAGAAAGGTTTAACCGTTCCATGCCAGGGATAACATTTTAACCATGAGCTCTTATTTCAACCGTGAATTAGCTATTATTCAACAGACTGACATTATAGTTTTTAAATATTTTCATCTCTCACTTTTTTAAACTCTGTTAGGTTGATCCACTTTTGCATCTTCATCATCCACATGCTGCTCCATCAACTGCGTTTCTAAAAAGAACCCAGAAAGTCTCCTATTCGCCAACTTCAGCTGGTCCCGTTGGTCCCGCGTGTGCTGCACCGTTCAGACTGTGGTTCCCTGTTAGTATCCCTGCTTATGTTCTGTTCTTGGTTCTTCTCACTGGAGGCACTGACCCGCCGAGTGGCCGAAGCTCCCCCCTCCCGCTCAGGCCCGACAGCCGGTCGGTCACCCCGCCTCTATCTCAGACCCCTAAACATTTCCACCTCCCAGGTAGGAGCTGGAGCGCACCCTGTCACTGCTCATCCCCATTTAGTACCACTTTCTATCTCTCCGTCTGTTCGCCTGCCTGTCTGTATGTATAGGCTACCTATGTCAGTCTCTATCTATACCTATGTATTTCTGTCTGTCTATATCACATATGTCAAACTCAAGGCACTCAGGGAATTATCTTTATCCCGCAGAATAATATTTAATTACTATTACAGCTGGCCCACCGCTATATTGTATACTATAAATAGCTAATCTAATCAGTCCACTTGGGGTCGCACAGTGTGAGTGAGCTACTGTGTGAGTAAAACGCCTAAAAAAACGGCACCACATTGGTCAACACACAGACAGAGAGCGAACCCTTGCCCTTCTAGCTGTGTGTGGACCACAGAAGTGGCCCAGCCAGCAACAATCCTGTCCCCCATGGGGGCTCTTTAGGTCTCCATCCCTCTATGATGAAGGGTGGAGGTCAGTTGAGCAGTTGTGGATGTGAGGCAGGACTAGAGCTAACTAAAGTAAAAATATTTTGGCTTGTTCCAGGGCTGAGTGGACCTTGGAGCCCCGGGAGCTGTTGTCTGATGGTGGCATCATATGCTAAGACGCTAAGATGCTAAGTTGTCGACAAACTCGTACTTAGACCTCAAAGCCTGCTGAACCATTGCCTTGTTCACCATCTTCTCTAACAAATAGTTGAACATGGTCTTGTCGATGAACGTTTTTCTTGACACTTCGAAGTCCATGCGCTCAATTTTGGCCCACGTCTTATCGACTAAGCGCTGAACGATGACCACGGTTTCGTGGTCGGTTGAGTTCCCTCTGTGCCTCTTGAATGCCCGACAAACCAGCCTCTTCACGGTGCTGCCGGCGTAGGCTTTCCTTGCATTGTCCTGCGTCGGCATCACATGCTGTTTGATGGGGAACACAATGTCCCATCTTCTCAGACACATAGTTGAACATGGTCTTGTTGATGAACGTTTTTCTGGAAACTGCCCTCAAGTTTGTCTTATCGACCAGGCGCTGAACGATGACCTTGGTTTCCTCGTTGTTTGAGTTCCCTCTGTGCCTCTTGAATGCCCGACTAGCCTCTTCATGGTACTTTCGACGTAGGCTTTCCTTGGATTTTCCCCCATTGCCATGAATTTCTTTATCATCTTTAATCCGCGGTGAACCATTCGGTGAAGTGTACTGGGAGGAGTGATGTGCTGTCTGATCCCAGCCCCTGCAGCGTTTAAGGGGGCAGAATTGACACTGACTAAAACCTCTCTGGTGATTTGGGGCTGAGCTGTCACTCTTGACTCTGCCTCTGATATTCAGAACCTGTTTATAACTGTCATTGTGTCGCACAGGGTGGCCAAGATGTCTTGATGAGACAGCAACCAATAGATCTCCAAAATTATCAGGAGCTCTTTGGACACAGCTCTGATTATGTCCAATATGAGTTCTTCCATCAGGTGCTGCCCGCATTGCAGGATTTTATCAGGTCCCACTGTTCTTGAGTCATCCTGTTGAAAAAATATTTAACTGGGAGGTAGATATTCAATTGTACCTCCTCCTCTTTTTGTGTATATATGGTGTTAATATTGCATAATTTTGTTTAGACTGTGACAATGTTTTCTGCGACTTAATTCAAACAAGGCTGGCTTCGAACAGACCAGTCAAAGAACTGATGGCTATTTGAAAAAGCTTCAGGCAGAGTCACACATCAGAAGATCAAAACCGGTGTTGGGGATTTGCCCGATCTGTGGGTGAGTGGGGAGCACGGTTGTTCTCCAATGAGAAGGTTGGCGGTTCGATCCCAGGCCTGGCTAACCCGCATGTCGATGTGTCCTTGGGAAAGGCACTTAACCGAACATTGCTGCGACTGCATTGTGTGAATGTTAGTTACTGATGGGCAGGTGGCTCTGTGTATGGTAGCTCCTGTCATTAGTGTATGCATGGGTGTGAATGGGTGAATGATGTCATGTAGTGTTAAAGCGCTTTGAGTGGTGGGAAGACTAGAATAGCGCTGTACAGTCCATTTGCCATTTACTATTTATCTCAAGTAACGTAGCAATACCCCCCCCGGTTACTATATATTTCAAGCTGGCGCCTGACGTAGAACGCAGATAACCAATCAGCTTCATGGAAATATATATATAGCTTTTTATAAATATATATATATATATATACCTTTAGATGTGAATAAATGTAGTATGTACTGGTGTTTGTGGTGAATCAAGAAATTAGCAACTTATGACAACGTTGGTTGTCTGCTGCAGAGAAAACGTGTATCTTCATCTCTCTTCTTATGCTTTTCCCAGTATAGACATGTTGTTAATGTAAAATAGATAGAAAGAAATTAAAGGATTTTGGTTTACATAACTTGCCTGTTTGCTTCAAGCTAAATCACCTAATTCCCCTTATACCCAAGTCCAGTTCACATCCACAGATCTAACCCCCAACAAGTTAGCTAAATACTAACTTAGTGATATCACAGCATTGCTCATACAGCCAGAAATACAACTTGTTTATTTTAATAAGTCGTCGGAAGTAATGCTTTACATGCTATAATCATTTTCCTCAAATTGTGATCCACGTCATTAAAAAATAAATTAAATTAAGTATTAAGTATGTTTGTCGGGTTTTTTTTAATTCCGGTCCGGCAAACATCATTTACCCGGACCATCCGCACCCCTCACCTCGTTGGAAAAATAAAATAAGGGTGCAGCCCCCAATCTCTCCCCTCCCCTACAACCCCTCTCCAGTCCTATGATTACTGGTCTGGCCCACTTGAGGTCAACGTGGGAAGTATGTGGCCCCTTACCTAAAATGATTTTGACACGCCTGGTCTACATTTATATCTGTCTGTCTGTATCCATATCAATATCTATACCTATTCCTGTATGTTTGTCTGTCTGTATCCATATCAATATCTATACCTATTCCTGTATGTTTGTTTGTCTGCATACATATCTGACTGTCTGTTTGTTTCCATATCTGTTTCCCGAGTATACGTATCAACATCTATTCCTGTATGTCAGGATCAATATCTATACCTATATCTGTCTGACTGTCTGTCATTATACTCCATTGGGGATTATCTTTTGCTTTTTCCCCTCTTTCAAATTGCAGGAAAAACAGCGAAATTCAACATTTGATTGTTTGGGGGGGAGATATGTCTACAATAGTTTTATTTTGTTATAATATAGGCAATGTATATTTGGTAAATGTCTTTTCTGTCTGTATTTGGATGTTTTCAGATCAGGGGAGCAACATCTACAGAAAACCACCCATCTACAAACTACACGGTACCTTCCTGTAGTACAGCCTGCTTTAATGTTAAAAAAAGAGGACTTTTTTTTGTCCTAATTCAAGTCCAGAAAAATACTTGTATCATTGAGCCAAGCTCTTTCCTGGAAAAAGCTTCTGCCAATCAGCTGAGATTGTGTACGCATCTAACCACGTAGTCACCCCCAGTGCCAGTGTGTGACCACTGTTTGAAGTCTGTCTCCAATCCTCTTCATTTTGATCTCAAGCTTTTAAACACTGCACTTTGTCTCTGAATGAGTCACAGGAGTTATGTTATGTTATGTTAGTATCTGTAAGCGAGATTATGTAACTTTTGTGACCAATACAAATGACACAATCCCACGACAAGGAAAATTATTTTCAAGAGTAATTTCTGTTCGAGGCAATCTGACTGGCAAAAACCATGTCTTCTGGTCAGCAGAGACTTTTGATTTAATGTCTAACATTTGTGATAAAACCATTTAAATGCCTATCTGCGACAGGCTTTGATGCAATGTAACAGTAGCACAACAAGAACAGAGAAACAAAGTCGGCAGACTTTAATGTAATGTCAGTGTCAGTTAAACTGTAATACCAACCTATCGTTGGCTAACATTAGCTAACATTAGCCACTGCTAAGTAAGACAGTAGCAAGAAAAACCTTGAGTGCATTGAATTGAACAATGGGGCTTATTGTTGCTTATGAACTGAAGTTTTGATTCGTAAGTTGAATAATTAGTGTATTCTTTTTTCAAAAGTTACATACTTTGGCTTTAAAGTTATTCCAAAAGAATATATATGTTAATGGTCCCAAGTAAACCTCACTTGTGCATTCCAGCTGGTTTTGAGCCAGCTGGTTTTGAACTAAATGGTGTTTCACCCAACAGGTATATCTTGCTTATAAAAGATGACACTAATATCATTCTTGAAACATCCTCAAAATCACATTGACTTATATCTACTGGCAGTTCCTCAAATCAATCCAATACTCAGTGGCTTGTCGGAAAATAGATTTTGTAGAAAGCGTACATTTTAAACCTCAAAAGTTACATACTTTGGCTTTAAAGTTATTCCAAAAGAATATATATGTTAATGGTCCCAAGTAAACCTCACTTGTGCATTCCAGCTGGTTTTGAGCCAGCTGGTTTTGAACTAAATGGTGTTTCACCCAACAGGTATATCTTGCTTATAAAAGATGACACTAATATCATTCTTGAAACATCCTCAAAATCACATTGACTTATATCTACTGGCAGTTCCTCAAATCAATCCAATACTCAGTGGCTTGTCGGAAAATAGATTTTGTAGAAAGCGTACATTTTAAACCTGGACTACCCAGGTTTGAATTAACCTGTAGCCTGACCATAAAATGGTGCTTAGAATGTTTACCTGTGGTTGAGGCCGTGACTCCGACACTGATAGATCAGTTCCCATGGTTACCAACCTAGATACAGATGCCATAGCCCGTCAAAGCAAGTCTGCTGATGAGATCATCAGATCCGCCACCTTCCCTGCTGCCCATGCTCCCGCTCCGGATGACAGCTCGTGGAGTGAGGGCGACCTTTGGCCCTGCTCGCTCACTGTGTTAGGTACAGTAGGCTCCGGACGGGCATGCTTGCACTGCAACCTTCTGGCGATACAAAAAAAACCTCACCAGAACCTAACTCTCTTTGTTTTTCCCTCGCAGCTGCCCTAAAAGCTTTAACTGCATCCCCGCTTCACTCCGAGCTCACGTTTTTGTTCAGGCATTTCCACATTTGCCTTTAAGTTTTGCTTGCGCAAAGCAGAAGCATTACTGGGTTTCTGTTGCTGCCTTGTTATTTTCTGCTTGAGGTAACGTCAGTTTCACAATTTTATTGCACAATATGGGTGCACTGGCTATACACAATAGTGCCACAAATAACTTGGACAGAGATCACTGAGACTGACTTCAAACTGTTTTTGACATTGTGCTGTTCTGTGTATTCAACACCCAGTTAATTCTTGACATGAATGATGAAGCGTGACCATCTGTCATGTCAGTGTAGCCAAATATTCCAATAAATCCCCCTGTTCAACGTGATCTCCAAAACCTGTTCGTAAAAATGTATACGAAAATCTTGAACATACAAATTCGTAACAATACATACGAACTGGTGGTGGTTAACCACGCCCCTTGAGTAAACAACATGGCGGACCATGTTGGATTCTTGAGTGAACGTCTCTCCGCCATGTTGGATTTTTTGAGGGGGTTAGGGTTAGTATTGTATTCTTACAATTTAACATTGATTTCTCGTTAAAAATGCAATCATAACAAGTTTATTTTACATCATTAGACTTCACGAAGTGTGTTTATGGGGTGCAGGTCCCCATTCACTTTGAATAGGGTGACGTCATCAGTTGCAGTCCGTATTTATTTAGTGTGTATCACTACGAATTTGTATGTTCAAGATTTTTGTATACATCTTTACAAACAGGTTTTGGAGATCAGGCTGCCCTGTTTGTCTGTCTCGTCAACTCTGTCTCACATTTGTGTTCTTCCGTCCACCCATTGCTCATTGACTGTGTGTAAATCTTACTGCTCCACAGCCAAAAGAAGCTGCCACATCTTTATGTCCTTGTCTAAATTTTAACTGTGGATAGAGCCTTTCATCTTATTGTACTCCACATTAAAGTACATGTGTAGCATGGTTTTCCTCCATAGAAACGCGTCTTTATGTGTGCACGTATATGTGTTTTTTGTAACTTTTGGTGGTATGGCACCCATAGGTTCGGAAGGGAGGAGAAGATCCAGAGAAGAGGAGGAGGAAGAGGCCTTGAAAAGAAAGCAGCTCCATGAGGAACATCTGAGCAAGGTCTAATCCTCATTTATCACCTGAATCTTTGACCATGTAACTGCTTTGTGTCCTTAATATTTGTCTCATATTGATTGAATTATTTGAATGTGTAGATTCAGTCGGGTCTTGGAAAGCTCATCCTGAAGGAGGAGATGGAGAAAGAGCAGATCAGAGAGCGTCATGGACGTAGCCTCTCTGCCCAGCGTTACGACCCCAAACAAACCAACTGTGACGCAGGTACAGGGTGGCTAAATCATCTAATTCGCTCTTGAATTGTTAGAAGTGTACAGTAGCAGACGGTCAGGGCTTTATTAGACGTGTAGCTCACTGCATTTTTTTAAACATTTCCGGCTCTGTAAGTCAATTGGAACATAATTTATATTTCAGATCCAACTTCTCCGACCAAAACCAACTCTCTGCCCAGCTACGGGAGGAATGGGCTGCACCGGGTGAGAGCTCACTCATAATCCCAATACTGCTGTTATTAGACAAGACAGACATTTAAGTGCAAAGAAATACCCATCAGAAACACTATAAATCCCAAGAAGCAGAAATTGCTTGGGAAGTGCATTTCATTCAGTCTGCATGTCCAATACTTACAATTTATAATTTAAGCCTAATCTGGTCCTCAATCAGTAACGAAATCTCCACTGTTATTTGGGTCCCCGCAGCCCCAGTCGACAGATTTCACCCAGTACAACAGCTATGGCGACATGTGCGGAGGAGGCAGAGGTGAGAGCTGCTACAAGAATGTAGCCACCAAGTAAATCTCTTGAAAGCACATTTCAACCGAGCTTTCCAGGATCATTATTCAGAAATGGCTTGCTACGGGTACATGAATGGACCAGCTTTTTGAAATATATGCATAAGGATTCACAAAATGTGTCATCAGGAACAACAGTGTTGTACATAGTAGCTTGGCAGGGGATTTGACAGCAAAACCATTAACTGTGAGTCTCATTTTTGTCCCATGTTGTCCTGCAGAGTTTCAGGTATGTCCCTCATCTGCTTTCCCTCATGGCATGCTTACTCACCTTGCATTATGTATTTGCTGCTTCATGGGTTGCAAGAGGCAGCCTGCCCTGAATGCACACTGTCCACTCCTGCCACTTGCTTGCATCACTGTCGGTTTTAAAGTCCACTACAGGGCTTGTAGTGCAGTGATTTCATGTGGCCAAACATGCACTGCCCAGTAGCTGAACGTGTGTGCTGTGAATGCAATGATCACCGCTTCATGTCTTGTTTTGTGTGTTGTTAACCAATGTAACGACTCAAGCTAATATAACATTTAATTATATGATTTTCAAATTCACTAAAGAAAAAATGAAAAAAGATACAGAGACATTCAGAAAACTGCACTGCCCATCTCAAATAGTATTAAAGATAGTGAACAATATCCAATCTACTTGCTCCAGCTAGTGATAACTATGCCCACAGTCATTAACGGACATACTTGTGTCATTCATCCTGCTGCCCCTTCCACACTATTACATTTGTGTATGTTCTATTCTTTAGCACATTAAGGATGGCCGTGCAGCACTTGCAAGGATGGACAGGGGAGTATCTATGCCTAATATGTTGGAACCAAAAGCAAGTATCCTATTCTCTTTGTACCAATGACACAAATGTAATTTACACTGAAATATGTTTTTAACATTTATACACTACATTGCACACTTAATTTGGTTTATATTGCAGCTAATTTAGATATTGTCAAACTTCTACATTCTACAACAAAGACAAAAAATGCATAGCCAATAAGAGAAGGATGAAATAAACAAATGATCATGTTGTATTTGGCCTCATAGTACGGGACGTTAGTGGAAGAAATAGGGAACTAAACAAGATTTTACTGGAGATGAAAGACTCATTAAATTGCTGCTTCAGGAGCTGCCGTATCACCCTTAGCATGCTGGCTTCTCCATGCTGCCTTCTCCATGCTCACCTGCACATAGCTTTTACTCAAAGTGGCTGGATACTGTATGCAGCATACAGTGGAGATTCCAACAGCCAGATCATCCAAACAACTCATATCACTATATACTGTGTGGTATATAAGATATTGTACATTACTGTGTGGATACGAGTTGATCAGAGGCTTCAAAGAATTATTGATGAGCACTTCCATCAAAAATAATAACGATCGTGTGAAGAAAAGTAGGAGCACATCAGTTTTCCAGGACAATCATTCTCATGTTAGTATCCCTGGCGTACATTACTGCTGTAAGTTAATTTGTTCAGTTTGCATTGTATTTAATTGAAAACAAAACCTGTTACATAACTGTGTCGTCATGTTTTTGCCCTTACTTAATCCTTTGCATGTTTTCTACATGCACGAAAAAAGTCACTAAAAAGTGCACACTACGATGGCACCTGCCCAACAACCTAAAAGCCAGCTCTCACGGCGTCAGCCTGCTGTCACATACCTCTTCTCCCACCAAGTGTTCCATCTTTCACAGTCGAAAGATTACGCAGTCACATTACGCAAATATCCAAATTAAATCCAATAGCTTTGTTTGATGACAAAGGGTTTGCAGTATTGTGAAGCTTAGGCCTAGCTGGTAGGTTTGACGTGTTTCACTGATAAGTGTCTCTTTCTGAAGGTGTATCCCTATGAAATGCTCATGATAACCAGTAGAGGGAGAGCTAAACTGCCCAGGGATGTGGACAGAACCAGACTGGAGGTATCAGATTTCGACCTGACTGCCCACAATTGATACTGGATTTCTCTACTTTGTGTAAATAACATGTTACACAAACACAGTAATAGCCAGGAATGTGCAGTATCCATTGCTTCTTGTCATTTTTGCAGAGACCCTTTTTGTGGCTTTGGTGCTAACAACAACCCCCCCACCCCCCCCCTTCCCTCCTTTGTTTTCTCCACCTGTGTTCTCAACTCTAGCGCCACTTAGCACCCGAAATGTTCTTTGACATCTTTGGAATGGAGATGAAGGAGTTTGACAGGCTTCCCCTGTGGAAACGCAACGACATGAAAAAGAAGGCCAAGCTCTTCTAGCACTCAGAGCAGCATGCACATACTGTACATTTATTTACATAGCACATAACAACTGTAATCTAGATGTAGGCTTTTTGTTTATTTCCTTTTCTTCTGTTCTTTCTTCTTACCCTGCCATAATCAAGGAAGCCATGAAATAGACTGTTTTTTTGTTGCTCTGATACATCCCGAGACTGTCAGCTGAATGATTTGTCCAGATGGACATGCATAGAAAACCAGGAATGGTAATCACTTATATCACCATATTCAAAAATGACAAAGAATGAGAATGAATGATAAATATGGTCTTTTATGTGTTTAGACGGCACTTGTTTTACTTGTTGCTTTGCTGTGAGTGGAACTGCTTTCTTTTCTTTCTTGCTTGTTTCTTTTTACTATTTGTTGCTGTTGATTCCTGTGGAACTTTGTAAGTACAGTAGAACCTCATGCGCCATTACAAAATGTCCATGCTTGTAGCTTGAACATGTGTCAGCTTTCCTTTGCTTGGGCTGAAACTGTTTTCGTCCAAAGTTTGCAAGAATCGGCTCAGTGAGTCTTTGAATACATTTTTTGTAACTGCTGGGAAAGCATTCTGCAGACCCACTAACTATTTTACCGGATCTACATGGAAATTAATCATCAGAGCACCTACACATCGCCAGTCTGCTTCCCTTGGCTACTGTACACGCCAAACATTCACCTGACCCCCACAAAAAGAACGTCTCTTCTCAGGCTCTCATAAACATAGCCAGACACTTTCCCTTTACGTTCCCTTTATCTATTGGAAGTACAAATTGATTTTCATGCCATATTCAACATACAGTAGCCAACAAATAGATATAACACTTCATGTCAGAAACAACTGTATTTGAAAGTAATGTTTTATAAATGAAAACCCACACTGCCATTTGTTGTATTGAAATCAAGCCAATAAAGCTTTAAACCACCATAAACCATATGATCCTCAGCCATACCAAAGGTACCCACTGCCTCTTTCCTGTTCTGTTTTCGTCTATGGATTTCACCAATACACATAGCTGGTGTGATGTTACACAGGGTCGGAGGTTGTCCGTGGACCGGTTGACCAATCAGACGATGAATTCCATCGTCTTTCAACACAGACTCTAATATCTTTTTCCATGAGTATAACCTTTTACACTTATGGAAATATATAGTTTTTAAATGCATCCCAGTTAACTGTAAAATATTCCACCACTGCCAATTCACTAGTAAACGACCGCCACCACGTTATGATTTCCTCACTATTCACTATTCTGAATAAAATGTTAGCTTCTTTACAGATTGTGCTTTGAAAGCCCACTTACAACACATCATCCACTATGTTTGTCAGTGTTCATTTCCAAAGCATGTCCTATTTTTCTCTTAATTAAATGATTCGGTTTTATTTAATCTAAACAGCTATTTATGTTCATATTTTAATATTGATTTGGTTCAAAGTTTCAATCTTTGAAACTAACTCAATTTAACTTAATTTTCTTCTCTTAGGCAGCACCTATGGTAATAAGTGGTAACCGGGGTTAATCTTTTTTTGGATCCCTCTTACCAAAGATCCAAACAGAAAAGTTGACTCTTGTAATACAAGTGTAAGCTAATTGGTAGAGTCAAAGCACTCTTTGCTTAGCAGCCTTTTTACATGTGAATGCCTTGATGCACCTAAGACCTTGAGGCCACAACTCACTGCCGCGGCTTCAGCAATGGAGGTTTTGAACATACACCACTCTGGTTCAATGTCCCCTACCTCCCCAGGAATGTGAGAGAAGCTCCGCCGGCCTCCTCCAGACGTTCTTAGTTCACCCTCACTACACGCTTGGGTTTACCGGGTCTGTCCCGAGTCTTCCCCCATCCTCTGACCCAGCTAACAACCAGATAGTGATCAGTTGACAGCTCTGCCCCTCTCTTTACCCGAGTGTCCAGAACATGCGGCCTCAGATCAGACAATACGATTACAAAATCGATCATTGATCTTTGGGCTAGGGTGCTCTGGTACCACGTACACTTATGAACATCCTTATGGTCGAACATGGTGTTTTTTATGGACAATCCGTGACTGGCACAGAAGTCCAGCAACAAACAACCGCTCGGGTTCAGATCAGGGAGGCCATTCCTCCCAATCACGCCTCTCCAGTTATCTCCATCGTCGCCCACGTGCGCATTGAAGTCTCCCAGTAGGACTATGGAGTCCCCTACTGGAGCCCCATGCAGTACTCCTCTCAGGGTCTCCAAAAAGGCAGAATACTCTGAGCTGCTGTTTGCTGCATATGCACAGACAACAGTCAGAGTTTTCCCCCCCACCACCCGAAGGCGTAGGGAGGCGACCCTTTTGTCCACCGGGGTAAACTCCAATGTAGCAGCACTCAGCCGGGGACTTACGAGTATCCCCATACCCGCCTGGCGCCTCACACCATGGGCCACTTCGGAGTAGAATAGAGTCCAACCCCTATCCAGGAGTGTGGTTCCAGAGCCGAGGCTGTGCGTAGAGGTAATCCCCACCAGATAACTGATAACACTCCACCTCCACAAGCTCCGTCTCCTTCCCCCCTAAAGAGGTTAGGTTCCATGTCCCCAGAGCCAGCATCTGCCGCCCAGGTCTGTTCCGTCTAGTCCCCCCCACTGTCACTGCCACCCTTGTAGCAGCGCACCTGACCCCATCGGTTTCCGGAACAGGTGTTGAGCCCCTGGGGAGTAGAGATTTGGGGTGCCGCGTCACTCCTTCGGGCTATGCAAGCCCGGCCACCAGACGCTTGCTGTGGGCCTGGCTCCAAATGGGCGGCCCAGGGCTTCCTCCGGGCCGGGTAACTCCTTTCCTCTTCTGTTTTTACACAGGTGCCATTCACGATTATTGTAATGTTCCATTTAGTGGGCCAGTGTCTTGGTATGAAGCTTGCTGGTTCACTGGAATGGCTGTGACTAATTAGATTCAATGTTAATATAATTTATTATATTAAATTATATATTATATTATATTTATATTATATTTATTAATATAATTTATTATATTAACTGCACCTGTGTTTACTCTGCCGTGATATGTCAAAATGGCTGCCAATGAGATATTGGGTTACCTCATTTGGAAATAGATTGTTACTTCACAGAACTTTATAGAAAGGAAAAACCCAATACGCTCATGTGAACTTTAAACTAGTATTCTGTTGTGTGTTAATACAGTTGCTTTGAACGCTCTCAGATTGATGCATTCAAGTGGAATTGGGAAAAAAAGACAGCTGCCGCCACCTCTTTTATGCAAGAAACAACTCTATTGTTTTGATTTGACTTAATCACCGCACAATTCTAAAACATATAATGTTCTTAAAATTCAAATGAATGACTACAAACAACATTTTTTACGTTATAGGACAACTGATGGAGAAACACAGTAGTTCCAGCCCGGACACATTTGAAAATACAAAACTATTGTATTGTGTATATATATATATATTTGAAAAACAAAAAATAACTTCCATGAATCAGTTCGTTGGTTATTTCCGGTATTGCTGTTTTTATACTGCTGACAGAGGATATATCCTTAACTAGAAAATATAATTCCCCCTGTATGTAAGGTGGAGGTTTCAAGTTGTTTCATCATACTTGTGTAGATTGACTTTTGTACCTCACCTGGCCTCCAAACCAGCTGTGTCATACAATCCTACATAGTACTCCACATGAAAATCTTAAAGTGAGATTTAAGGTCATCTGAGAAACTTCAGCAGATTAGTAGAAAAACAGCCTTCTGCTCCTACGTGTGGTAACATTCAACTAAATGTATGTTTTGGGTGGAGGGGAGGCTTCTTAAAAGAAGAGAACCATGGTGTATTTTCTGTAAATGTTGTTGGTGGGATAACACTTATCTAGTACAAATATGTACTTTAGTTTAGTTCCCATAGTACGGTCTGCAACTGCTCTGCTTGTGAGAGCTTCACTGTGGCCTCATTCCACCGCCGAGGGACACACGTGGGACGTTGTGGACACAATGAACATAATGATCCTCTGGAAGAAGGCAGCACTGACAATAGACATAAGTGTCAGCTTGATTAGGAGGCAGCAACAAGGGGAATGTCTCTTCTTGACGAGGGGAAGAGAAAGCCTGAGACGAGGTGGTGGTTAAAGTAAACATGCTCCTGTCAGTCAATCTCTACTTTATTGCTGTCCAAATCAAATCTCCCAGTAAATTGCTTCTGCATTTGTACTTTACCACTAAGAATCTGTCTGACTGCAGATGATATGAGCTGTGCTGAATATGTGCGCAACTCTCTCTACAGGAGACATTACAAAACCACCAAGAGTGTCTAAAGAGGCAAAGGGAAGCAGTGAAATACAGACTGAAAAAACTGGCAGCACGACAATCAGAAATCACAGTAAGTTGTATTTAGATTAGTTGTTGTTGAGATGATGCTCCATCATGTAATCTTTCTGTCTTTCCATTGTGATATTACATTAAAAAAATTAGATTAGACCCGCATTCTGGAGGTATAATAAACTCATAGCTGCTTATGCTGGACTCAGAAAAAGTCCTCAGTGATAAGGGAGAGCATCATACAGAAATATCAGGAGATCCAGGCCGTCCTAGGCGAGGACCTGAGGAGGACCCTGTCCCACCTGGAGATGGAAGAGCGCGCTGCTGTCTCTGCCCTGGATGGGCTGATGGAAAAGAACTGCTCTCTGATCCAGGAGATAGAGCAGGACCTGGCCAGACTCACCATGTCAATGGACGAGACCTACATCGAGCCAGATACTATGGTGATTCAACTTATTAATTAAGTTTATGGACCAAATATTGTTTGAAATATCATTTGTATATGGGTAATACAAATGATATACTATGCTTTTCCTTTAATCTAGCTCTGTGCTTTTCTTTTCTCACTCTTCTTTTTCATATCCCGAGCGGCAGGACATGGGAACACTGAAAGGGTAGGAATCAAATCAAAATCGATAATAATAACTGTGCAGCGGCAGCACCTGATGTTTCTCTATCGTCTGCCTCCTCCAGAGTGATGGATGTCCTAAACAGGATGGACCCCAGCAGTGTGAGCCTGGACGATGTTAAATCCGACCAAATCCTCAGCCTCACCAAAAACATGCTTCTGCTTATCAGCTCACAGACCCCGATTATCAAGAACATTACCCAGAGTTGTCAGTACACACAATACTTTGATAGTGTTGCTAAACCACAACTTCCCTTCTCTTTTTGTAGCTTCCTGTGCTAAGGTTGTTAAATATGTGTCTCCAGATTCCAGCGAGGTGCATCTGGACCCAAAGACGGCCCACCCAAAGCTGGTCATCTCCCCCCAAGGTGACAGTGCCACTTACGCAGACACCTGGCAGCAGCTTCCTGATCTCCCTGAGCGCTTTGACACCACCCTCAATGTCATGAGCTCGCAAGGATTCAGCTTCGGTCGTCATTACTGGGAGATTGACGTGACCGGGAAGACTTACTGGGAGCTGGGTGTCACATATCCAAACATCCCCCGGAAGGGCCCCACCGAGGACTGCTGGCTCGGCCGAGGGGACGAGTCCTGGTGTGTGGAGTTGTTTGATGGAGAGTATACAGCCTGGCATGGAGGCGTGCCCCATAAGCTGCCTTTAACGAAACGCTTCTGTCGGATCGGAGTGTTGTGTAGTTTCCCCGCAGGGTCGGTGACATTTCTTGAGGCAGACAACATGACACCACTGTTCTCCTTCTGTGTAGGGACCTTCTCGGACCGCCTGCACCTGGCCCTGTGTCCCGGTCATGACCACTGTGGCACCAATGCTGAGCCTGTAGTGATCTGTAATGCTCCATCTCTTCTGTGATCTCTGATTATTGACTCGACAAAAAAAAGTCATTCCTTTCTGAGGCATCATTTTCTAATAATGCACCAAATGTAAAGGTTTGTAATTAAACAATACGAAGACTCTACAGCTGTGCTAGCAGCTCTACGAGGCTAAACACTAACATCAGGATGTTCACGCTAACGCGCTAACGTTTAGAAGGTACAGTGGCAAACATTGTTCAGCATACTACCGATTAGTACAAACAGAGCTGCTAAAATTTTGTTATCCAGGTATTTGATCATAAATAAAAAGTACAGGACAAATTGAAAGTCTGATTTGATGATAGTGCTACAAGCAGTGGAGCAGGCAAGCTGTAGAAATGTATCTTTACAGGTACATGAACGTCATGGCAAGCTTTTAACTGAATCTCACAAATGGTGGTGTCACAATAACAGGATAGTTCCATCCTCTGGGGACCATGAATATTCATAAAAATATGTGAGCTTTTGAAATAATTGACTGTCTATTGTCTCTTCGTACTTGGTAATAACACGTTAATCTATCAAGACTAACACTGAAAATATTTACAAGATGTTAATAAATGGGATTTTTAACAGTCCAGGAGGTTCTTTGCTACTTATTTATAATAATCAATTATATTATTAAGACCTCACTAAAGACACAGAGTTGGATGCTGGAGGAGGATAAACATAATCTATGGTACATCACTTCAATCTTTGATCAATGAACCGATAACTTTAATAAACCCTTTATAAATGGTGCCTCACAAGAAAATGGTACCCTAATTATAAAGCCATGTACTTATTAGCTCTTTTAAATGATGGAATGCATTTCAGGAGACATGGAGGCAGAATTTGATGAAAATTGAAAACAGGGTACCTCTCAGTAGAAAGCTTATAGATGTGTAGTGAACTTTCAGATGAATGTACGGAAAGATAAGTGTTCCCCAGCATTAAGCTAAATAAACTAAGAAAAGAGCACCATGGAAACAGTGTTTGATGTTTACATGAGTTAACACATTTAAAAATAATTTAGAAAATGTACTTAAAGGTAATAACAGTCACTAACAATATTACACATGTACTGTTACTATTTATTTGATTGAGCATTCTATCAATTTGATTGATTTTGTAAATGAACAAAAAATCACTCAATACTACATGATGAAATAAACCTGGTGTGTTTGGATCCAAAGTCTACACAAACAATTTTGCTTTGCAAATATGCTCCCTGGGCTGTTGTGTTGGATCCGTGTACAGCGCTATTTCAATTAAATCAAAACTCATTCTGTTGAATATGAAAACTGTTTCACCGGCGGCACAAAGAGAGTAATCCCGTTTTTGCAGATTATATTTTTCCATCTAAATTCTTACCTAATATGAACTATTATTATGTATGAAAAACTAACCAAGGTCACAGTTAAAATCAATGAAGGTAAATCAACTACAGGGAGCAGAAAAGCCGGCTTAATCAAAGGTTAGAGTACTTACACAAATGTTTTTTGCCAGAATGTTCACCCATCTGGACTTCCTCTGATCCACTGCCGTCATGAACCTAAAGCTCCTCTTCTTTTGCCTTTTTTTTGTGGTGCTCCTCGTACCCACTGAAGTATGTATTTATTGTCTTTATTATTGTCTAGCAATAAGAAAATGTATTGGCCCTTCGGTGGGGCTTCTTGTTGTGGTCTCTGTTTTAAAATAATAATCTACTTACTGTACATTGTTATTATAACTTATTATATTATCAGCTGAAACGTAAAAAGGACAAACACCACCACGGCAAAAAGAGAGGACGGTATGAGGACATAATAAGAGGTAAGTATTTATTTATATTATTTATGAAATTTCTTTGATTGAATCACACACTCATTACCGAAATGCAAGTTGAAAAGGTCAAAAGGTAAAAGGTCACATCAAATGCAAAAATAATGAACATAATGTACAAACATTTTGCCTTTGCTGCCAGATGTTCTGTAAACATAAAATAAGTTGCGCTCTTGATATGATACAATAAATATTCCCAAATGATTCTTTAGTTTCATGCGTTGTGCGATGTGTAGTGCAATGTTCATCAGGGTAGTTATTTTATATTTTCTTACATGTACATGTATATATATTGTGGGAGCCGGGTCTTGCAAGGGTCAACAGTGGGTATACTAAATGGAAAAAATAGAGCAGTCAGAGAAAGGAGTCGCAGTGGATATAACTTTTTTAGTTTTTTAGTTTATTTTATAAACTGATAGGGAAAAGGGAGGGGGCAAAAAAGGTAACTCAACAGCTTCACCGGGATGGGTGTTGGCGTCAAGGGCTTCGTCGGGCTCTTGCTGAGGCAAGAAAAACGACAGCGATTAATCCTCCTCAAGAATACAGAAGGCTTATTTGTGATTATTATTTCAGATTTTTTGATTGTGGAGGGAGCTAGTGATGGGGATGATGATGACGATGACCATAATTCAGACTGGGTGTTTGAAATGCAAGAGCCAGAAGGTGAGCGTTAGTTAACACAAAAATGTGTGCATTATCACCTGTTTTCTCCATAGCGGCTTTATTCCATAGAAAACTTCTGTTACCGTCTTTTCTAATTTCTTAGGCCAGTGCAACCCGAACCCTTGCCTCAACAATGGAGTGTGTGAGGAGAAAGGCAAGAGGAAGTTCAAATGTGATTGTCCCAAACCTTTCAAGGGAAAGAAATGCCAGAAAGGTTTGAATAAAAAACTCTTGTTGTTGACAAACTGGTCAAATATGGACAATACACAAAATTAAATTAAAACTATCGAGTTGTCCTCTCAGGTCCCAAATATTGTAGAAAAGGCCGATGTGGGCGTGGTGAATGTGTGTTGACTTCCACTCCCCCGTTCTATGAGTGCAAATGCAAGGAGCCCTTTCAGCCGCCACACTGCACAAGCGGTAAGGAGTTTTCTCTTTGTTCCAAAGAACATTTCTACAGATCCCAAAAGCAAGCTTTCACTGTTAATTGTTTTCCCCCAAAGTGTCCCTGTGTGAGCCCAATCCATGTAAGAATGGTGGACAATGCATCAGGGATGGCAATGACTTTGACTGCCTATGCCCTACAGGGCACAGAGGACGTTTCTGCCATGTTGGTAAATTCTACTCCCGACATTGTTGTTTACCTTTTCCCTGTCCATCATATGCAACCATAACTACTCATATAATGACTGATTGAGGTACATTTCCAAGGCCCCAGCGACTGCTATGTGGATAACGGAGAGTCATACCGCGGCAATGTGAGTGAAACTGATGACGGCCATGAATGCCTCTACTGGAACTCTCACTTCATCCTGGAGAGCGGAGCTGATCCATTCAACTCTTTCGAGGACAGTGATGGACTTGGCCCTCACAACTTCTGCAGGTCAGCAGAAAATAAACGTGCATTCACTTATCATCAGACAGGTGTCCACTGCTATTTGAATGCACTTATTTATTTTCAAATGTGTGACACAGAAACCCGGACGGAGACAAGATGCCCTGGTGTTTCTTCAGACAAGGCCGCAGGTTGTCGTGGGACTACTGTGATGTCACAAAGTGTCTTCAACCAGGTGAGCTGCACAGCATCTGGCAACTTTATGATGAGTCAAGAAAGACAGCTATGAAAGTAAGTGTGTCTTCCTTTGCATGTTTTTTCAGGTGTGGTGACAACTGAAACTGCTCTCTCTGTTGGCACTAGTTTCGATGCTACACCTTCCCCCCCAGTGTCCCCAGAACCGTCAGCTTTGACCCCCCCTGCGAATGTGTTTCCAAGCCAGGCTCCACAACCTTCTCTTTCACCCGCTGAAGTAACACCTAGTGCCGCAGCTCCACTGCAACAGTTCACCACCTGTGGTCAGCCTCAGCCAAAGAAGAATGTTGCCCGAATTTTTGGCGGTCTGAAAGTCCCTCCCGGTGCTGCACCCTGGCAGGTGTCCCTGCAAGTGAGACCAAAGTCCTCCAACAAGCCCTTCTCACACACCTGTGGAGGAACCCTCATCGCAAGCTGCTGGGTGCTGACAGCTGGACACTGCATGTAAGCACTACTGGGTATCTAGTGTCATTGGCTGTTTAATAGATAGCTTTCACATGATGTTTTATTATTTGTGGAATCCTGTGTTGTTTGCATAGTGCCGGAACAAAGGACATGCAGGTGGTTGTGGGAGCTCTGTCGACTAATATAGAGGAAGCCACAGCGCAAACCATACAAGTTGAAGAGGCTATCGTACATGAGAACTACAGGGAGACTCCTGCAGCGGTTTACAATGACATAGGTGATCCATTCCTTTCTCACTTAATATGAAATAGATATTACCCACAATATTAGAATCCTTTTGAGACTATTTAGTTAATTCATTTATAATGGTATGTGACACTCCAATACCACAATTTGTATTGATTGGAACATGAGATATACAGTATTCATAGGCCATGAATTAAATGAAAATTAGATTAAAAAAAATACTAACGGTAAAAATAGTATTTTTATCAGTGTCATTTTTTCTTTTTTTTAACTTTCATCCAAACTGTATTCCCGAAGCCTTGGTGAGGCTGAAAGGCACTGGTGGAGTTTGTGCCAATGAAACCCAGTTTGTGAAGACAGCCTGTCTGCCTGATGGCCAACTGCCTGATGGGATGGAGTGTAAAATATCTGGATGGGGTGCCACTGAGGACTGTAAGGCCACATATATATTGAGCCACAACAAAAGTCAACTTTTGTTGCAGAATTTTTGGTTAAGTGTGATTTTTTTCCAACTTCTCTCTGCAGCTCCAAATGGTTCCGCCCACTTGCTAGATGCCAATGTGATGCTCATCAACCAGGAAAAGTGCTCCGAACCCAAAATTTATGGCACAGTCTTGGATAATAGTATGCTGTGTGCTGGCCATCTGCTGGGAGGGGTGGATTCCTGCCAGGTTAATAGTAGTATTGAAGTGATCTCATTCAAAATACCTGCATGTCTTATATTATGCGTATTGGCTATCTAGTGAGCTATTGGCTCTTGTTTCAGGGTGACTCCGGGGGACCACTAATTTGTGACCAGAACAATGCCAAAGTTGTTTATGGTGTGGTGAGTTGGGGAGACCAATGTGGAAAGAAGAACAAGCCTGGGGTCTACGCACGAGTTACTCGGTTCTTGGACTGGATCAAGTTTAAGACTCAAGCAGCATCTCCATAAGCAGCTAGGAGCAAGTCTTACTCATCATGATTAAGCTTTTGGGTTTTGTGCAGTTGTACCTGGTATTTTTTCAGCTCTACAACATGCTACTTAATGCAACCTTCCTTAATAATTGAAAAATGTGCATCTTATTTTAAGTATACATATAACTCAAACTGGAATCGCAATCCAAAAGTTTCAAATGTTTTGCGTGTGAGGAAATAAAAATGTGACTTCTCTGAGTCTTTGAAGGGGAAAAGTGTCATATTCAGAAGGGTCCGTTCTCTGCTTCCTGCTATAAGGCCCTTCCCTTTCCGTAAGAAGTGAATGTCGTTGTGTTTTCCTATTTGCTGTTGTGCGTTCCTATTTGCCGTTGTGTTTTGCACTTCAGGGCCACCGTACATTTCCGCCACAAAAAAAGGGTTAGAAAGTCGAGATTTTGACTTAAAAAGACAAAATGATGAGATAAAAAGTCAAAATGATGACTTTAAAAGTCCAAATTATGACTTAAGAAAGTCGAAATTATGAGATATAACGTTGTCAAAACACAAACGATACCTCTCTGTAACCGCAGTGGACCGTAGATGACAACCAGCTACAACCATAATTTACCATCATGTGTTCTGGCCATCATCTGTTGCTGCTTTGTCGAGAATTGCTACCGCCGCATAAATCGATGGCTCTGTCTATCATGCTACCCTATCAAATAATTCTACTTTGCTACAGTGCTTTATTATAATAATGTGAACAAAATCATGTTTACAATAATGTGTTGACACAAAAGAAATAGCATGTCAGACGGGCCGGAGCCGGGGAGGAGGACAAGGACGCAGAGAGGCTTGACTGCAGGAGATTTATTCAAATAATATCATATATCTAACTAGAAAATGCATTTCCTGCTGAAAATGCGTTGGAATGCAAAAAGCTGAAAGCTGAAATGAATATTTAAAAATAGCTGAAAATACAGAAAGTTGAAGGGAATTTGAATACATCTGAAATTACACATATTAGAAAAGCTGAAATGAATTTGAAATAGCTGAAAATACAGAAATGGGAGAAGCTGAAAGGAATTTCAATAGATTTGCTGAAAAAGCAGAAATGAAAACAGCTGAAATAAATTTGAAATATTGCAAAAAAATACAGAAATGAATATTAAAAAATTGCTGTTGATGGAGGCATAAGAATAGCTGAAATTATTTTAAAGAACTGCTGAAAATACAGGAAGTGGGGAAGCAGAATTTCAATAGATTTTCTAAAAACAGAAGTTGCAGGAGCTTAAATTTGTTTAAAATTGTTTGTAGTAATATTAGTAGTAGTATTAGTTATAATTGTGATATTAGTAGTACTAGCAGTAGAGCAGTAATAGTAGGTTTAGTATCAATAGCAGTAGAAACAGCTGTAATACTATTAGCCATAGTCGTATTTGTAATAACATTAGTAGTAGTTGTAGTATTAATAGCAGTAGAAATACTAGTAGTATGGTAGTAGAAGTATCAGTTGTAGTACTAGAAGTACGAGTAATATTCGTAGTGGGAGACAGAATGTTTGTTATTCAAACTAAGAAGTTTTTAATTAATAGGCCTCATCACAAACATTACAGTAAAAATTCCCTCCATGTGGCTTTTATTTTGAAATTATTGGATTGGGTGGGTTGGGGGGGTGTAGATAGAGGGAGGGAGGGTGAGAGGGTGAGGAAGGGAGGGGTGGTGAGGAAGAGATAGAGGGAGAGAGAGAGGAGGAGAAATGGACAGACATACTGACTGACTGAGTGATTAACAGTGAGTAGAGGTCAGGGTGGAGGGGGGAGGGGGGGCGAGTGTCTTTATCATATTGGTCTGTTGACAGAAAGCATAGCTGCGTCATGTGACTCCACTAATCACGTCATTGGAGCAGCTGTGAGTCACACACAGAGATACTGCAGCGTGTTTACGAGTAACCACGGCAACGGCGCACCTATTGCATTGGGTGGGGTGGGGGGGTGTAGATAGAGGGAGGGAGGGTGAGAGGGTGAGGAAGGGAATGGTGGTGAGGAAGAGAGGGAGAGGGGAGGAGAATTAGACTGACTGACTGACTGAGAGTGATTAACAGTGAGAAGAGGTCAGGGTGGAGGGGGGAGGGGGGCTAGTGTCTTTATCATATTGGTCTGTTGACAGAAAGCATAGCTGCGTCATGTGACTCCACTAATCAGGTCATAGGAGCGAGCAGCTGTGAGCCACAGACAGATCCTGCAGCATGTGAGTGCTCGTAACCACGACAACGACGCACCTGTGCGGCTGCAAAAGTGCAGACACAGGACAGCGAGTTACACAGAATCCACACCTCAAACAAATGAGAACCAGCGCAAAACTATAACAGCTATCTAAAAAATACGGCGTTTGTATGAGACCCAAGACTCTACCGAACGCGTGGATGTGTTTTTATGTCTGTCCGGTAATAAATACGGCTCCTATGGCCGTTGACAAAACGTGTACCTTGTGGATTTTTGTGAGAAATATGTCGGCAGATTTGTATTGGAGCCTATGGGGCTTTTGGCAGAGGTTGTGTCACTCAAACACTCCTTGCGCCAAAACTAAAAAACTCTGGGATTCCATGAACACATTAATCCAATCAGCACAACCATACCCTCATTAATCTGAAGAAATGAAGCCTCTAGAGTGTATACTTTGGCTGCAAGGACAGAAGTTCCATACTTTTTAAACCAGATTTCTGCGATGCCCCACACTCTAGCCTGCGAGGCCCCGCCTCTAGCAGACGCAATACACACTCATGTAAAAGTCAGAAACGGAGCGAAAAACTAGTGAAACTTAATCAGTGATTATGAAAAAAGTACAATAGATATCAAGAAGCAGTTTTTTTCATAAAATAGTTGAGACTTGTGTGAACATTTGAGAGTTGAAATGGTGTCTGTAGCTGAAAGATTTGCAAAGCTGAAAAATCTGAAAGTTGAAGAAGTTTAGGAGGATTTGAAAGCAAACTCCATTTGAAAACCATGTTAAAATATTAATGATTATTGATTTATATAAATTCAAGCATAAGAGGTAGAAAGCTGAAAAGTCATAGCCCTCAAGCCAGAAAGGAGCTGAACATTTTAATATTTGAAGGATTTTAATAGCTGAAAATGTGAAGGAGTTGAAAGGGGGCGCGGAAGAAATAGAAAAATAAGTCGGAATAAAGATTCGAAGAACAATACTTGGAATGCATCTCAATGCATTCCAACAATAACACCAAAATACAACTATCCCTTTCACATCACAATACTAACGCGGGTGAACATGCAAAACTACAAGACACACTGGCACAGGACAAAGGGAGACGCAGACAATAAGTATCCATGGGGGAGGTGAGGGAACAGGTGGAGACAATTAGGAATCAGGGGAGACCATCGACAGGAGACACCTGAGGAAGGGCAAGACACCTGAAACGAGAGGGGGTTTAGACGCCACAATAAAACAGGAAGTCTCAAAATCAGACGTAAGACGGGACACAAACACAAACTTCACCAACATGTATGACATAGCAACTGCTTACCACTCATTAATCTACATGTTTATTACTATCTGAAAAAAAAACTGGGCAGTATGTTTGCGCGCTGTGAGCCCCTGCCCCTCTAGAATCAAGTGCATGTCCCTGCGACACAGTAAGCTACATGCAACTATTTCAAATTTAACTTCAAGAGCTAAACCAGTGTGCAATCTAAGCTATATGCTAGTTAGGGGTGTAACGATTCATCCACTGAATCGATAATTCGATTTATATTCCTGCGATCCAACTGAATCGATCTGTGCTCCGCAAATCGGCATTCCGGGCGACATATATCGATTACAAATCGATTGAAATGGTACATAATCGATTGTATCGAAACTGCACATTGGATTTAAGTACAAAAACTGTGTGGATGTGTGTTTGTTTGTTTGTTTTTAGCACTTTAGACACGTTAAACGTTACTCGATTCAGTCTGCCTGTCTGTGACGTCATCAGTACGCAGAGGCAGCCGCGCGAAACTCGGAACAACAAAACACAGCGTGGAGGAGACAACTGCGAGCAAGACATTTACAAACCAACTTATTGATCCAGCGTGTGGAAACATTTTGGCTTTTGCAAACACGGAGGTGTTCTAAATAAGTCGGTCGCTGTTTGTAGAATATGTAGAAGCCAAATAAAAAACCACGGCAACACGACAAATCTTTCTAGCCTTCTACTAAGGCGCCATGGGATTAAACAACGACGACAGTCAGGCGCCTCTAGTAGCGTTACCGCTGCAGCAGCAGCAGAAGGTAACTCCAGCTCTGCAGACACCTCAGGCCTCGCCAGCACCAAACTCAACATCACAGTAACGATTGCCAAGTTTATCTGTAAAGACATGCGACCCTACAATGAGGTTGAAAATCCGGGGTTCTGTAAATTGATCCAAACATTGTGTAATTATTGTGTAATGTTTACATTGAAAATGGCACTTGATTCAAATAGAGGCTTAATACATTTGCCATTGTTTGCTTGTTTATAATATCCATAATTAATTTAAACCTTATTTCCTTACAGGAAACAACAGGGATCTCGGAAACTTTGCCTGCACTGTCCAGGAAAGTTACTGAATCAATTTCAAGTCACTGAATCGAATTGAATCGTTCTGAATTAACCCAGATCGTCAATGAATCGAATCGCCAACCATGAATCGCGATTCGAATCGAATCGTTGTTAAAATTAATCGTTAAACTCCTAATGCTATTTGTGATGTTCATGACATAACCACGTCACCTGCAGATATAGACGCGCAAGACACGTGAGCAGAAAGTACGCAAACGGTAACGTGTAAGCCAGAGCCGGAGAATAAACGCCCGTGGATATATATCAAACTGTGTTAGGTCTGGTGTATAAACGCACACAACGCAAACACTACATTGGCGACGAGGAGTAACCAGAAAGTCACTCGAAGAATCGACCCGGACACCGCGTTTTTCTTTCTTAGTTTCGCGAGCGGACAAAGAAGAGGGAGGAGGAAAACGGACACGAGGGTGAGAAGCTAGTTAAGCTAACGCGGACGAACGTGAATGGCAGTCGGCGCGCCGCAGCAAGCATGGCAGGAAACACCGCTACGCTCCCACCTTTCGACACGGAAACTGACCCTGGCTCTGTTGGACCTCGCTGGAATAAATGGGTGCAAAGGTTTGAAAATTACACCACTGCAATGAACATTACTGGAGATGCTAGGCTCAAAGCATTATTGCTACATATAGCAGGAGAACGAGTGCATGATATCTACGACACATTATT